AAAAAAAAAAAAAAGATCCAATCTATCATTAGTCCACATTTGACTTTCCCCAATTAGGCCTTTTTCACTGTACTCTGTTTCGTATGTTTAACTTTTAAGATAAGCTAATGATGGTATATTTCCATTTTTGCCTTTGTCATCAGTGCTTAATGCATTAAGGAGATAGTGCTCATTCAAGATTATTATTATTATTATTATTTTGTGTAAAGAGAGGCTCCATTCTATTTAATTTTTTTTGTTATGAAAATTATGACATTATTTTCATTTTAATCATTGCATAATTATAGTGACTTAAAAAATATTTTTTTGCTTTTTCTTAGGCTTTGGCTAAACAAGCCAAGATTGATTTTGAGGAACAAGCCCTCAGAGAGAAGGCAGTTCATGAACAAATTGCTGTGGAAAGAGCTCAAGCTCGTTACCAAAAGCATTATTCGTTATGTGCAGAAATTTTGGATCACATACTTGATTTGTCCACTAAGGTTGCAGACTATCGAATGTTGACAAATAAGTAAGTAGAAACATAACCAAAAGGAAAAACCAACACACACTCATTGCCATTGAGTCAGTGCCAACTCACAGCGACCATATAGGACAGAGCAGAACTGTCCTATAGAGTTTCCAAGGCTGTAAATCTTTATGGAAGCAGATCGCCACATATTTCCCCCACAGAGCAGCTGGTAGGTTTGAACTGTCACCCATTCAATTAGTAGCTGAGCGCTGAGCCACTGTGCCACCAGGGCTTCTTAGAAACATGATAGAGAATGAAAAATGGTAAGATTGTAAAATCAACGGAATATTGATAAGAGAGGCAAAATGTTTCAGGAAAAGAAGACTAAGAAGTAAAGTCCAGATGACCATGGTTATTGACTTAATTCACCGACTAACCAGCTTTGTTTAAAGTAGACTATATTTATATCTTTTTCCATTTAAAAACTGTATCTGCATTCTTTATTGTTTACTAAGACATATAAGATAATTTATTTAAATCACTTCTAAATTCCTAGAAAACTAGACTTATTTAAGCTGTTTTACTAATCATTTACTAATCATTCCTATGTTTCATTCTAAAAGTTTTATAGCTGTACTTTCAACATTTAAGCTTATTCTACCCCACCACTTCTAAAAGGAATCAACACTTTTGTAAGAAAATATTTTAAAATACAAAAAATGTAAAGAATATGCTAAAATAACAAAGGAAAATATAATTTAAAGTAAGAAGCCAAGACCAGGGGATAAATTGAAACAGTTTTACAGGCAGCAGCAGGTTTGCTAGTTACTGAAACGGGGGTTCAAATTTGATGTGAATATGCTGGTGGCAAAGCATAAAGAAAATACAACCTATTTTATGATTCCTATTTTCATTTTAGGTCTTTTAAAAAATACAAAACTTTGTTGGCATTCAGGACAGTATTTTTCTCATGTTGCCTCACCTAAGCTTCGCATGGACAAGTAGATGTAGTGGGGCGTGTCCTCAGCAGCATCTCTCAGGCAAATGTGGCATCTGGATTCATAGACCTAGTGGTTGTGGTGTCTCTGGCTAAAATGTATCATGGGCTTAAATATTGAACATACAGCTATAAAACTTTTAGAATGAAACATAGGAATTCTTTTGGATTAGACAAAGGTTTCTTAGACTTGACACCAAAATCATAACCCATAAAAGGGAAAAAATAATAAATTGGACTTCATCAAAATTAAAACCTTACTCTGCAAAAGTTGTAAAGACGTAGAGAAAATATTTTCAAATCACACATCCAACAAAGACATAGTATCTAGTGCATATGTTGTTGTTGTTATGTTGTTAAGTGCCGTCGAGTC